GAGAAATAGCATTCTGGAATCTTAAGGTAGACGTTTGTTCATTTGATTAGTAGATTTTTAAAAAGTATTTTAAAGCATATGCACCAAATTTAAATGTTGACCATTAATACTCAGAGTATTTTCACATCCTTGTCAGCATAAAATACAGGTGGACAATTTCATTTCATTTATGCTAATGGGATTTCCAGTGGCACCTATGGCTTTGTTTTGTATTTTCCTAGTGACTGATTAGGTGAAGAACTTTTACATGGCTTACTGGCCACTCAGATATCTTCAGTCAGTTATCTGGGGGTTCTTGCCTCATTTTGCATAGGGGCTTCCTTCACAGTATTAAAGTAGAATTTGTATACAAATGCATAGGTATATGTAAAATAGAATATAAAGAATGTATATGTATATATACACTCTCCCACTGTACATATTCTGCATACCAATAGTTGAGGGCATAATTTGGCTCCTTGTGTCTTACACTGTTGTGGGAATATGTTTCACTCCCTATCACTTTCTTCATTACATATTTTAAGGGAAGTTTTAAAACTTGAGGTAGGTATATATGTTGTACTTTTTACTCTTATGATTAAGGCTCTCTGTGTTTAAAAGTGCCTTCCAAAGTTATAATGATATTCTCCCATTTGTTTATTTGTAAAAGCTTATTGTTTCAATTATAGCAATTATATTAAATAACTGTTGAATATATATGATTAAAAATAACTGTTGAATATGTGTGAATATATATAATTTTTTTCCTGGAAAAATAATCACTCTGTCTCCTTTCTCTTCATGTGCACATTCATGGACACACATATTACTTCCCTAATGGTTTTGATAGTATAAGGGCATGAAGTGCATTTTTTATTTTTTGGTTTTGCAGCCTTGCTAAGTTTGCTTAGCAGAACACTTAGTTCTTATTGAAGATTTTATTCAGTTTCCATATAGCTGTTCATATTCTCAGAATTAAAAATAAATCTATTTTCCTTCTACTTAGTCTAATTATGCTTTATTTCATATTTTTGATTTAGTGAGTGAACAGACCTGCACAGGAATGCCTAGAAAAACATCTTGTCTGGCTCTTTTTTTCCCTTGTTTTTTTGAGATAGGATCTGCCTATAGGCCCAGCTCACCTGAAATGCTCTATGAAGACCAGTCTGACCAACAGCTGCCTACCTCTGCTTCACAAGAGCTAGGATTAAAGGCATGTGCCACCGCACCTGGCTTATCTTGCTCTTGATATTAGATAATATGCATTTGGTATTTAAATATTAAATGTGATTATTTTACCTGTATATTTTTTATTGGGTACCCTTATTTGGTTGAGACAGTTATCTTCTGTTATCTCTTAGATATGAAGAATCAACACATAAGGCTCATGAGTTGAGCACTTAGCCTACAGTTGGTGGCACTATGCAAAGAGATTGGACAAGTAGGATACTAACTTCATCTCTAGGTTAATCATATATGAGCTCATATAGGATGGGTGATTCTCAGGTAGGGCTTGATCAGAGGAGGCATGTTGCTTGAGGGCATTGCTTTCAAGGGTGTATCTTTTCCCTAGCCCTTTTGTCTCCCTCTGTGCTCTTGGCTGACATGAGGTAAGCAGCTCTACTCTTCTGTGTCCTTCTATAGCGATGATTCTGCTTTACCACTGGCTTAAGTATACAATCACCTGGCCGTGGGTTGTATTCTCTGAAACTACAGTCCAAAATAAATCACTATTTCTTCAAGTTGTTTTACTCGGAATATTTTCTCAGTAACCAAAATGACTAACATACATTTAGGCTAGTTTGTTAAGTTTTTATCAGGAATTTTGTCTGATGATGCTTTATCTATGTTGTGTTATCAGTGTGTTCAGTCATATTTGTCTGTTGATATGAATCTTGTTTGACTGTGTAAAAAGCATTGCATGTTTAAGTTATGATGCATTAGCTTTTGTATATTCATACACCCTATGCTGGATAGCTTTAGTGTCAACTTGGCACACGTGGATTGAGGGAGCCACAATTGGGGAATTGCCTCCATTAAACTGATGTCTGTGGGGCATCACTTGATTGTTGAGTGATGTGGGGGGGCCCAGCCCACTGTGGGTGGTGTCACCCATGGGCAGGTGGGCCTGTGTTGCATAAGAAAGCAGGCTGAGCATGAGCCAGGAGAGAAAGCCAGTAAGCAGTGTTCCTCCATGGCCTGTGCTTCAGCCCTTGACGCCAGGTTCTTTCCCCTGGGTTCCTACCTTGGGTTCCCTGATGAACTGTGACCCAGGAGATGTAAGACAAATAAGCCATTTCCTTTCCAAGTTGATAGTGGTCAGAGTGTTTTGTCACAGCAATGGAGAGACAAACTAGGACATACCCAATTACTGATTTTTTAAAAAAATTCATCTTTGATAATGAAATATATTGATCTGATACTTTCCTTCCATTGTAATATCTTTGTTAATGGGGTATGATGTCTTTTGTATCAGGAAAATACTGGTCTAATGTAGTTGGGAAATATTTTCTTTTTTTAAGTATCCTGGAAATTTTAGCTTAGAATTGGTGTTGTTTCTTCCATTTTGTTGTTTTGTTTTCTTAATTTTATTATTTTTATTTATTTATTTATTTATTTTTAAAGTTTATTTATTATTTTTATTTTATGTGTATGTATGCATTGCCTGCATGTAGGTAGGTACACCTATGTCATGCAATGCCCACGGAGGACAGAAGAGACTTCGGATCCCCTAGAACTGGAGTTACTGGGCAGTTGTTAGCTGCCATGTGGGTGCTGAGATTTGAGCCCGGGTCTTCTGCAAGAACCACTAAGTGTTCTTACCTGCTGAGCCATCTCTCCAGGCTCATGTTTTTTCAGACAGGATCTCCCTGTAGTGCAGTTGGCCTGGAACTCACTACATAGACCAGGATGCTAGATCTCTCAGAGATTCTCTGACTCCAAAGAGCTGGGATTAAAGTTGTGTGTCACTATGTCCCATGCCCAACTACCTCATTGTTTCATAAAATATTATGTATAAATCATCAGTGAACCATATAGTACAAAATTTTGTGTACAAAGTTTTTTAATCTACAAATTCAAATCTACTTAATAAAAATAAGATTATTTGGGTTATAGTCTTGGCCTTGGATGATTTTGGGTAATATGTATCTTTTAAAGAATTGGTCTATTTCCTCCAAGGGATAATTTTTGTAATGAAGTTTTCCACAATACCTCTTTAGCATCCTTTTAGCATCTGTATAACCTATTCAGATGTTGCTTTTACTTAGTCTTCATGTTTTTCTAAGTTCTTTTGACAGGGTACTGAGATTTGTCTTTTAGTTCTTCATTTTTCTTTGGAACTCAGTTTCAGCATTTCATAAGCACATTCAATACACAGTATTCTGCAAATATTTATGGAAGTGTTACAAAAAGCATACCAGACACTGTCATTGGCTTCATAAAGGCAAATATAAATAATGCAGTATCTGTCATGTATAAAATATGCTCTGTTTACTTTCTGGAATTATTGCTGTGCTCTTCTGCTACCAATCATTTCTCCATATCCTCCATAAACAATGGCTATAAATACCAGTGGCCTCTTCCTTGCATAATACAGGGCCTACTACAATGCTTTCCTTGTGTGAAAAAGGTAGATATGTGTGGAAAATAGAGACACATCCACAAAAAGTGCTACCACATAAAGTAAAATAAAAAGCTTGTATAGGGCACAGAAGTCTTTATATGTTCAACACTGTAGAGAAAAAGTAGGGAATTTTTAGATATATGAATAAATTTCATAAAGAAATACTGCCTGTACATATATTGAAATGTGAATAGCAAAATGTGCTAAAAATCTGCAGGTGGTTCATTGTGGCTAAGCACAGTGTATAAAATGCAGAAAGTGTTGTAGATGTATATGAAAAGCAAGTGATTAGTGAATCCTTAGATTTAATAAAGGAATTTGGAGTACATTTTCACCTTAGAATACACCCAATAAAAGGGGCTAAACAGTTCTTGTTTTTCCTTTAAGAAACTGATTATACTTACTTTGTATTGATATAAAAATGTGTTTGCAGTTATGTGTATCTTCTACCTTCTTTTCTTTAAAGGCTAATAAAAATGAGATTTAAAAAAACAGAGCTATAATTTATCATTTCAATTCCAGCAGTGAAAAAACAGTGGTTCCAGAAATGCCTGGTTTTCTCTTAGGAGTACTTGGTGACATCCTCACATCATCTTTATAAAAAGGCAATCCAAAATATGTCTTGAAAACAGATTACAGATGATGTTGCCAGATGGTGTTGGCTTATTGTCATAGTCTATTGATAATGAAATAAGAAATAACCAGGAAAGTTTATAGGGTTAATATCTCATCAAGAAGGTGCCAAGAAACAATATCTCAACTATAAGAATGCTATATTACATCTTTTGAAAGATCCATTTTCAGCCACTTCCAACCCTCAATCCATTTCTAGCCCATAAAAGCTACTATCTTCAATTTGAGAATATGAAAATCCCCATTTCCTTTTGACCATGGATAGAGAGAGAGGGGCATCTGATCATAGTTACATAATATTTCTACCTGATTTAATTTTCTTAAGAAATATATTCAGTTCATGCATGGCTAATTATAATTGTTAAATTACTTTCTTGGGGGAGTAAGTCTAATGTATTTCAGAAACGTTTTCTAAAGACTTATGACTGAACCATTTGTCTATTTGTTCTCTGTGCGTGTGTATCTCTGTCTCTGTCTCTCTTTCTTTGTCTCTGTCTCTCTCACACACACATGCCATGGATGTTAGAGGACAACTTGTAGAGTCAGTTCTCTCCTTTCACCATATATGTTCTGGCAATTATATCCAGATCATTATGCTTGACTGCAAGGGTTTTACCCACTGAGCTATCTTGGCAGCTCCAGCATAATTTTTATTGTAAAATATATTCATAGTTCTCCATTTAAGCAGACTTTGAAGCTTAATATATAAAGCATTAATCCCACACATACGATTTTGTAGCTACAATAATGGACATAAATTATTTTTAATCTTTTCTGCTCTAAATTTACCTAATAATATTAAACATTTTTATGTTTCTAAAATTTTTGTTTTATTGTATCAATTTTGTTTGACAATTTAATGCATATATATGTATATATAGTGTATTCTGATTACTGTCATCATCATACTCTATTACTGCTCTTCCATTCTCTTCAGGTTTTAAAAAAATTGCTTTTTTAATTATTAATTTTAATAAGTGATGCGGGTCAATATTCTAAAGTTAAGGGTAATATTAGCTACTTATTAAATATAATAGTGTAGTTCTTATACTCAATTTTCATGTTTCAGAAGATGACTTTTTCAAAGTCAAGAGAATGCATATGTGTCAGAAATGAGAGCTGAACCTGTTTTGTATCAAAATAATAGACAGCTGTGAATGTGCTATACCAGGGATAGCAAAGGAATTACAGAAGAGACAATATATTTTGATAGTAAGTAAAACTTAAAAACTGTCAATAGCAGAAATAAATGCATGCTTTCCATATATTTCTACAGATGATCTACGTGGCACGAAATGCCAAAGATGTGGCTGTGTCTTACTATTACTTCCACCAGATGGCAAAAATGCACCCAGAGCCTGGTACCTGGGAGGAATTCCTTGAAAAATTCATGGATGGGAAACGTGTGTCCAACTTTTCCTTTATTCTAATTTCATAGTGAACAAAGCTTTATTTTGAACAAGGCAGTGTGACGTTTAAATCTAAATGTTGTATTTATTATGGCCATTTGGGTAATTTGTTACACATGAATTTCCTAGTCCTTGGTTATATCCTTTTATTAGTGATTACTAGTTGCTGCCAATTTACTAAGTGTTTTTGAATCTCAGTGCCCATTTTATACTACTTAATCCTATGACTCATTCTTGGATCATTTTCTCTACTATTTTTACTTTTTTAAAATTAAATGGGCTGTGAAAACTCTTGAGTGACTGGTTCTTTAGAGTCTCTCTTCTATAAGCATATGCTCCTTTCAACACTCATCACAATAACTCTAAAAGAATTCCCTAAAAAAGCATGCTCCATCTAAACTCCCATCTAAATTTCCTCTTTGAGGCAAGTGCAAGTCAGTGTTATCTAGCATAGACTTAACAGTTGCCAGTTTGAGCTGTTCATTGCTCATAGTGTCAATGTCATTATCATTGTCAAGGCCCAGATGCTTCTCAAACAAAATGCTCTCTTCGTCCTCCAGAGGACTTGATAGCTTCCCTGTCTTGTAATTTTATTCCCCATTTCCCTCTCCCATGAACTTCCATTCCTTTTACTCTTTGTGTTACTCAGTGTGTGCCACCTTACTTTTGCAGTCTTAGTTACGTTTATCAAAATTATATTAGCTTGCTGAAGCTCCCACAACAAAATATCAGATGGAGTGAATTAAATGACAGAGATTTTTTTCTCACATCTACAAGCTGTAAATCCAAGAACAATGTTCTACCTGTACTTATTCTAGTCTTTCTCCTGAAATTGCCCCTGGCTACTTCCTCCCTGTTTCTCCGATGGTCTTCCCTCTATGTGTACGTCATAATTCCTGTACCTGTAATGGCATTGGTTAAATGGGATTAAGGCCCACATGCAAAAACTAACTTTGGCTTACATCTTTTTCTTCAAAAAGAGTTTCATTCACACATATGAAAAGTTAGCATTTTGTGCAGATGTCCCTTAGTATGAGTTCATCCACTGGAGCCTGGTCAGCCTGTCTAATGCACTCCCTTAAAGAAGACCAACTTTCCCTCCGTCATCAGGGATCAGCTGCCAATAGTTCCTCACCAAAGTTGTGGCCTCCTGCCCATTTCCCCAGTTCTATGCCAGTCTTTGATTAAGGTTGCATGGGTCTTGTGCATGCTGTCACCATTGCTGTAAGTTCATATGAGCAAGGTCCCAGGAGCCTGCAAGAGTCTGTTTCCTTAGGCCTTAACATATGCTACAAAATACATGAAGTCCTATGGGAGGTCTATGGAGGATACAGATAGGGAAAGGGGGCCTAAATATGATTAAGATGTATGAAATCCATCAGCATTTAGTAAACATATACTTTTAATAAAATGCTTCATGTTTTCGTGTATGAATTTTGGGAAGGCACAATTCACCTTATAACAGAATTGCTTTCCTGCTCTAAGTAGATTTCAAATTCAGTGAGAATGTAATCTCATATACTACCTGCAGGGTCTCTCTGTTGCCTCACTTGGCCTAGAACTCTCTGTGTAGACCAGGCTGGCATCAATCTCACACAGCTGTGCCTGCCTTTGCCTTCTGAGTGCTAGATTTAAAGGCATGTGTCACCAGGCCCAGCCACCTCTCTTACTTCAACTGATAGTGATCAATGTGTATGGACAGATAATAACTTAAATGGACTTTTAACTATTTTCTACTTCATGACCATAGTTGTGATTTTGCATTTCATCTTTAACTTTAGTGAGTTTTGGTTCCTGGTATGATCACGTGAAGGGCTGGTGGGAGAAAAGGGGACATTATCGAATCCTTTATCTATTTTATGAAGATATGAAAGAAGTAAGTAATAGCTTCAATTTCTTTTTCTTTTGAAAAAAACCTAGGTTTGTCTTCTTTGTCCATTTCTTTTCCTCTTGGTCTACACACAGGACTAATCTACCTTTTTAAGAACTATGGCTTTTTGCTTCAACTTCCTCATCTTGCCATTCTTGTCCACTTAGGGAGACTGCATCTTTGAAATAAAAATCAGCCTTCTACCAGTCTTTTCCTTAAATAGCTCAGTTGTTTCTGACACATTCTTTCATTGGCCCTGACCTGCCTTCTTATGTCCACTCTGAAGCAGAGAAAGGGGAAATCATGGGAAATGCATCAAATGCATCACCTCTACACTGTTGGCTCATCCTCATTCCTGCCAATATTGGATGATTTTATTCTACCTCCCTCTTCATATACTCTAAATATATCTATGTATTAGAGATAAAATCTCTTTTCCACTATTAGAAATTCTTGAGGTATCTAATCTAAACTTTATTTTATATATGCTTAAAAATAAAGGGGCTTTTAAAATTGCACTTAATTATAAATAGTGGTTTGATTTATCTCTATCCATTATTCTTAAGTTAAATTGTTGGATGGGAATATTAAATAAAAACCCAATCATTTCCTTTTCACTTTGCTAAATCAATTTTTTTCTTCCTTCTGGCACATTGTCAACTTGTATAACCAATGAAAGGATATGTACTCGGGAAAGCAAAATGAAGAATAGCATCTCTAAAACTATCTCTTTTACTATTTATACTTAAACACAATCTTGTTAAGTACAGTCCTTTCTTCGCGAGCAAATCTAACTGAAAAATCTTCTTTGCCCCTAACGTTTTAGGATCTGAAGTGTGAAATTCAGAAGTTATTAAAGTTTCTAGAGAAAGATCTGCCAGAGGAAACCATGAATAAAATCCTCTATCATAGCTCTTTCAGTGTGATGAAGCAGAATCCTAATGCAAATTATACCACAATGAAAAAAGAGGAGATGGACCATTCTGTGTCTCCTTTCATGAGAAAGGGTGAGCAAAGGGCATTCTTATGTCTGTATAGTTCTCTGATCATACAATGGAAAGTATAAACATTATCACATAGATGAAATATTTGAGAAACTGGAAGCAGTTGATGTGCTTGAGAAAGAGAAAATGAAAAGGAATGAAAGGAAAACCTTGGCACAAATAACAGAAGGCAAAGAAATTATTTTATATCTTTGCTGTGAGTCCTGCATATGAGATTTCTGATGAGAAATGTTTACCCAACAGCCTGTGCATCAATAAGAAGACTCAGCAAGCACATAGTAAATAACACATGCTTAATTACATTTATCCAAGTAATTTCCAATCTTATTTGAATATAAACTTTTCTTATAAATTGTCATTTGAGGTTGGCAAATAAAGCTTTAAAACGACTGTAAAATTCCCTTTTCCCTTGATACCAAAGCTTTTACAGTCAAGAATTAGAAATGAGATGTTTGGACTTCTTTCAGTAACACTTTGAGCTACTTAGGAATTTTTTTAAACAAAAGAGATATGAAAATCTATAGAGATTTTTGGAAGACTGAGAAAGTGTAGGTTTAGCAGTGGTATGGTTGAAGTTGAAGTTTATAGTTATGATGCAAATCCTAAATTTAAAAGACTAAAACATACATGTAGTAAATCAATTTTAAATTGATATTACATGGAAATTTTACATTAATCTCATTTCCTACTTAAGTTTTTGTTTTTATTTCTATTTTTGTTTTATTTAATTTTAATATTTTGTACTGAATTTCTATAATCTTCATAAATATAATTTGAGGGTTTTTAGATCCCCTCCACTCTCTGCCCCTTACTTTACTACCCTGACTCTGGCCAATTTAATGTATTCTAATATATCTAATATATCTAATATAAGGGACGCATTAGTTTTCTCTCTACCCCTCATTCTATGTTCCATGAGTCTTAGGTGTAGAGGTTCCACTGAAGATATGCCACCTAGAACTGGGCATCTCTCAGATATATATTCTCTTTGTCTAACAAGTTGTGGGGTTCTCCAGTAGCCTTCATCCATTGTAAAAAGAAGCTTATTTGATAAGTGATGAGAGGTATACTTCTCTGTAAATATGAGGATCATATTTTGAATACAGTGAGAATTTACGTATGTCTAGGGATGTAGCAAAAGTAAGTTTTCCTCTAGGATCTGTGACCTGTCTAGTCATGTTCCTTTGACGATGTTTACAGTACCATGTATAAGTTCCCATCAGTTGAATGGATCTTAATTCCAATTAGACAGTGCTGATTATTCCCAAGATAAAAATGTCAACGTTGCACCAATAATTTTAGTTTTCTGATCCAGTCATTGTTGTTCCTTAGGCTTTACAAATGGGTAGAACCATTGACTAGTTTTCTCCCTTGGCAGCTTACATAGTAGCCTTTGATATAATGAGAGTTAGTCTTCAGATCCTCCTGCCTCTGCCTCCTTCAGCATATCCTACCAGTGTGCACCACCACAACCAGCGAGAGTTAGTCTTCAAGGAGGTGACTTCCAGGTCAATTTTAGCTTGATTTCTCCAAGTTTTGAGGCCAAAGTGTGGCCTGTCTTCAGTAACAGGGTCTTAACTTCAAACACACTTATTTTTTACAGGCATTTCAGGAGACTGGAAGAATCATTTCACTGTAGCCCAGTATGAAAGATTCGAAGAAGATTACATAACAAAAATGAAGGAGTCGACACTGAAGTTTCGATCAGAGATCTAGGACTATTTGCTTCTCAATCTTCTTTGGCTGGTACAATAAATAAAGAAGAACATCTCTTCAAGGTTTATAGTGAAATAAAATTTTGTTTCTTTGTTATTTCCTATGATTCATGGTTTCTAATAAACTATGGATATTTAGATATATCATAGGAAAAATCCAATTCTGCCCATACGATTTTAACTGAATTCTTTGATGATGTCACTAAAATTTAATCATAAATTTAAATTTAAGACTAATGTCTTCACTTTAAAATTCCTTTGAAAATCATTAACACTTTTATTAAATTATTGTATGCATGCATGTATGTGTGTGTGTAGGTCAGAGGACAACTTGTGGGTGTCACTTCTCTCCTTCAACAGTGTGGAAGCCAAGAATTAAACTCAAGTAGTCAGGTTGAACTTCAGGCACATTTACGTGCTGAGCCATTTTGCTGGCTCCAAAGTATTGGCCCGTGAAGAGGATATATAGGGGAGTTTTCAAGATATAAGTTTAAAATTAAAATTTTCCTTAACAAAACTTTAACTTACTTATGTTATGTACTTAGAATGATACTACCATATTATCAGCAATGTTTTGGTTGAAGTTGACTTAATTGTGTTGCCCTAGAAAGAATATTTTAATAAATTAAGTATTAAATATTAATCTTAGTATCTTGCTCTTATAGTTTACAATATAGTAATATAAAACAATAACAACACAACCAATAGATATCATAAATTCTATAATTCACCTAAGTAGTTTTCCATGAAATAATGGTGAGGACTCTATGCCTTTAGAGATTTTTATGATTGATATTCTCCTCTTTAAAAGTAAAATTTGAGATTGTGGCAGTGGTGGCATCTGGGGGGAGGGTGGTGGGCAAATCCATGTCACCTAATGAAACAGGGGTCCAAAGGGGAGGTGAAAATAGGTGGCAGGCCAGCACTAGATTAAGAACTATTTAATATTGATTGCTGCTGGGTAAGGGAGATCATGACTTACATATGACCACTGGATGGACTGACTACACTCCAGTGGGTTTATTTACACTGAAGGACACTTGGGTATAAACACCTGAATGAATAGGACTCAGCATGTATGTCAGAGTGCATAGGGTTCAATGGGTGGATAAGGGGAGGCATATGGAGGTAGGGTATATGGATTTGAGTGGGAAATGATGAAATTTAAAAAGCTCAATAAAAAAATTAGTAAAGAAAAAAGATAACTATTTTACTTTATTTTAAAAAAAGGAAAATTTGAGGTCAGGCCTGGTATGTACATTCTTGTAATCCCAGCACTTAGGAGGCTGAGGTGGAAGGAATTTAACTTCAAGGCCAACCTGAGCAATATAGTTCCAGGCCATTGCGGACCATATACTGAGACTCTGTTGCAAAATTAAACAAAACTAAAAAAAACCCCAAAATTTAAAAACACACAATTTAGATCTGGTCCTATTTTAGGGCCTCAATAAGTTTAGTTATGTACATAGTATACTATTCTTTCCAAGCGGTAATACACTGGAGTGCTCTGAAGGCAACAAATCAAACAACTGAGAGTTACTGTCAGAGTTCCTGGAAGCCTCTTCTAATCTCAGAATTTTCTTTTCTCTTTTCTGTTGCACACAGTTCAGTCACTTACCATACAAACAAATCATGGATACAAATGGGAATCTATAAACTATAGCAAAAAAAACAGCATCTTTCTTATTTTTAACATTATACATAATTTTATATAATCATTGTATGCAAAATGTATATTTATACATATGCATATACAGATTTATAAAAAATAAAGACTAATTTATTCATAAACTACATTTATTAACCTGGGTACTTCTTGAAATATGTGTATGTCCCTTTAGAGACCAATCTTACAAGTAATAAGTAATAATACTCTTTTTGTTCTCTGCCTTACAGGAAGATTCACATGGGAATAGTTTTCTCCTCAGTTTTTTGTTATGAACAGAATATAATTTTGAGAAGTTTCACAGCAAGCTCTGTTTCTGTTATTAATGGTTTCCTATACCACTACATTTATTACAGGGCTCTAAATGGTGTTTGTCTCTAGTGGTTAGCTTACCTACTCTACAAAGATTAAATTTCATTATAATTATAATTATAATTCTTTAATTCAGTCTGTTACTATTTTATATCTTAGAACATCATACCTTTAACATTGCCAATTTATTTAAATTCGTGGTGTCAAAATACATTCTTTTCCATTTTAGCTAGTTAAGGTATATTAAATTTAAATGAATGAACTAATACGAATTCAGTGGGATTTAAAGCAAGAGAAATTACTGCTCCAGTAAGCTTAAAATATTCTATTTTTATTTTATGTGTATGAGTGTTTTGTTGACATCTGTTTAAGTACACCATGTACATGCAATGCCCATGGAGACTTAAAGAGGACATCAGATCCCAATCAACTGCAGTTACAGATGGTTGTAAGCCACTATGTGGGTGCTTGGAATACAAAAGCAGCAAGGGTCTTAAGTACTGAGTTTGAGATTCAATATTTTTTTCCTCTTTTAAAAGTTTTTAAAATTTAATAACCACATGATGAGATGAAGCATTTCATTACAGCTTTAAAATATTCAGTGACACATTCCAAAGCAAGGATACATAGAGATTAAAGACACATGTGCAAACATCTAAGTGTTAGTATCATTAAAAATGTAGGAAACAGCATATTATAAAATGAAATGGAGATCTTCTCTAAAGGGTAAAAACTCATTCAATTCTATGTCTTACAGGGTTTATACTGAGTTCAGTTTTGTATAATTGTATTAATTCAACTGAGATTCAATAATTTTTATTCCTCATGTCACATATTGAAGTTATTGTAAAATTACACCACTGAAATTGTCGAGGTCTGCTGAAAATCTTCCCAGTGACCATCCTTTTTGTCTAATACATTATGTTAGATTTGTATCACTTGTGAAAGGATATACACATGCAATTAATTATAATTCAGTCATACCCTTGCTTTTTAATTAGCTTTTAGATCATATCAGAGTCCTTTTGCTATGGATCCTTCTGGAATTGATCATTCCTAAGTGAGTGAAATACTCTTAAGCAATTAGGAGAAATGAATATTCAAAATACTATATGGATCTCAGGGATCTAATGTTGAGTGAAATAAAAAGTGAAACTCAAAAGATAAATAAAATATTTATGATTCCCTTTAGTTCAATATGTTCTTGTAATGAGAAAATTCTTAAAATGGAGAACAAATTAGTGGTAACCATAATGGAAGAAAGACACTAAAGGAAAGTAGACATAGTTACAAAAAGGCAACCTAGACAATATTGTAGTGGCACAAATGGTCTGTACAGTAACTGTATCCTGGTGGTAATATTATAATAAAGATACATTGCTGTGGAAATGTGGCAAATGTATGATTTCTTGAAATTTCATGTCAAATAGTGTATTAGTCACTTTTCTACTGCTGTGATAGAAACATTGATGCAAGCAATTAATAGAAGGAAGAGTTTGAGCTTATGGTTCCTGGAGAATTACAATCTGTCATGGCAGGAAGGCATGGTGGCTGGAGGTGGCTGGAGCAGGAGCAGAAGCAAAGCTCTCACATCATCACACAGACACAGGAAGCACAAGAGCGATTGGAGATTTGGCAAAGCTTAAGAACTGAAGTCCACCCACAGTGACATGCTTCCTCCAGGATAGCCACACCTTCTAAAACCTCCTAAAACAGTGCCATCATCTGGGAAAAAATGTCCAAACACTTGGAGCCTATGGGGGAAATTTTCATTTAAACCACCACATCCCACCCCCTGAACCCCATATCATGATCATTTAAAATGCAAAATGCATTTAGTCCAACTTTAAAAGACCCCATAGTCATTATCAATCTCAATACTATTCAAAAGTCCACAGTCCAAAGTGGACTCAGGTAAATATCTTACTGTAAGCCCCCATGAAATCAAAAGACAAATTATATACTCCCAACATACAGTGGAACTGAATACACATTACCATTCCAAAAGGGAGGAATGGAGGTATACTAAGGAAATACCGGACCAAAACAAGACCGAAAACCAGCAGGGCAAACACCAACTCCAGTAGCTCCACATCCAACTTCCAGGACTTTATTTCCAAAGGGCTTAGATGACTCAGCTCTTCTAGCTTTGCTGAATGCAAGACACATCTCTCTCTTGTGATGGTATCACTCCCTGTATGCAGGTCTTCTTGGCAGATGCCTCACAGCTCTGGCATCATGAACTTCTTGGGGTCTCCATTGCCAACCAGGCTTCACCTTCACAGCTTCACGCAATGGCCTATCAGGGCCGTTTTTTAGGCAGGGGTACCTCTGCTTCACGTTGCTTGGCCTCCGAGGCTCTCTGAAACTGCAGAGGAAGAATTGATGACCCCTTCACTCTTCCATCTTTCATGCCTCTAAAGCCAGCACCAGGTGAATGACACTGCCAAGTTTGACTGCAAGTTTGGAATGGACTCCAGCCTGCTTTATCCATTTTAGAAGCTTTTTCTCTTCAGTTGCCCCTGCAGCATTTTCCTTCAACAAGTTGAAGGGTTAACTGGGTGTCGTCTTGCCCTTGAGGCACTCTCTCCATTGTTTAAGTTTGAATCTCTAGGCCCCTCCTTAATCACTTTAATCTCCTTATCAGTGGGATCCTCTCCATCACATGCCAGGGCTCCATAATTAGTCTTTCCAGTGCTCTTTTTCAATCCATCCTGTACATTCTGTATTTCTGCCCCATTTGCTCTTTTTCTCTATAAATCTGTATAATATTCACCATTAATAGCCATGCCACCATTTCTACATTAGGCTGTCTTAAATTTCTTCTGCCAGAGAAATTAGTCCATGGCTTTTCAACGTAGGCTCAGGCAAGCTTTTTGGCTCTGAACAGACTCTAGCCAGGCTCTTTGCCAAAATATCCCAATTGCTGCATAAGTCCTTTTTTCCTTTGTTCTCAGCACTGCTTCCTTCTAGGTGGCTACTGGAATGGCCTGTTAAACTCTGCTTACAGAAATCAGCTGCTT